TCTGCTGACAGTTGAAATCGCTTTCTAAAACATAGAATGAAGGTAGTCCTTGACTTAAGACAGGGGTAGGCAACCTTGGCTCTTTTATGACTTGTGGACTTCAACTCCCAGAATTCCTGAGCCAGCATGGCTCAGCTTGGAAGCCTCTCCCTTTCCCCTCAGCATGGCTGGCTCAGGAATTCTGGGAGTTGAAGTCCACGAGTCATAAAAGAGCCAAGGTTGCTTACCCCTGACTTACGACAACGATTGAGCCCAAAATTTCTGTCGTTAAGGGAGATGTTGGTTAAGGGGGTTTTGCCTCGTGTTGTGACATTTCTCGTCACAGTTGTTAAGTGAATCACTGCAGTTGTTCAGTTAGTAAGCTGGTTGTGAAGTGAATCCGGCTTCCCCATTGACTTTGCTTGTCACGATGGTCCCAAAAGATGATCACATGATCCCGGGACACTGTGACCGTCATAAATACGAGCCAGTTGCCAAGCATCCAAAGTTTTGATCACATGATCATGGGGATGATGCAAAGGTTGTAACTGTGAAAAATAGTCATAAGTCACTTTTTTCAGTGCCGTTGTAACTTTGAATGGTCACTAAATGAACTGTTGTAAGTTGAGGACTATCTGTAATACGGTTGGAAGGGACCTTGGAGGTCTTCAACTTCAGCTCCCTGCTCAAGCAGGAGACTCTGCCAGGGGTAGGCAACCTTGGCTCTTTTATGACTCGTGGACTTCAACTCCCAGAATTCCTGAGCCAGCCATGCTGAGGGAAAAGGGAGAGGTTTCCAAGCTGAGCCATGTTGGCTCAGGAATTCTGGGAGTTGAAGTCCACGAGTCATAAAAGAGCCAAGGTTGCCTACCCCTGCTCTATGCCATTGTGGACAAAGGACTATCCAGTCTCTTCTTGAAAACCTTCAGTGATGGAGCACCCACAACTTCTGGAGGCAAGTTGTTCCACTGATTAATTGTTCTCACTGTCAGGAAATTTCTCCTTAGTTCTAGGTTGGTTCTCTCCTTGATCAGTTTCCATCCATTACTTCTTCTCCTGCCCTGAGGTGCTTTGGAGAGCAGGTCATCCTTCTCTTCTCTGTGACAGCCACTCAATATTAGAAGATTACTATCGTATCAACCCTCGTCCTTCTCTTAGTAGACACACCTAGTTCCCACAAACAATTTAGCCTCCAGATCCCTTATCTTCTTTGTTGCTCTTCTCTGCAGTCTTCCCAGGGTTTCAGCATATATATTTTTATATTTATAGTATATTTATGGCTTCCCAGCCATAAATTATCACCAATGCCTTGGAATGCCACCAGCATTAAATAAATGAATGCTGAAGTCATCTTTGGAGAAGACCCATGAAATCTTCTCGGATAGTTTATATATCAAGGTTCCACTGCCAGCCATTCTGGCTTCCCAGAGCTAAAACAAATTTTGCTGTAAAAAAGCCAAAGGAGATAATGAAAAATTTGAGTAACTTTCAAGGACAAGGACCAAAATGGCAAGTTTGGGATAGAGATAAGCTGAGGGGTCTTTGGTGCTCTCTGAGCTTGCTTGTTTTCTTGCAGACATTTCGTTACCCAAACTAGGCATAGCCCTGATGATGTTACCTAGTTTGGGTAATAAAAAGTCCGCAAGAAAACAGGCTAGCTCAGAGAGCACCTCATGTCAACCCTGAGCTACCAAAATTCCCCCCCCCCACATGAATTTTGCCCATGTGATTGTGGGGATGCTGTGATCGGCTGTCATTTGTTTCCAAGTCATTTGACTTGACATTGTCAAATCAAGTCATTTTTACAGTGAAGGGTCCTTGGCACTGTCTGAGCATTGTTGTTTTCCTGTGGATGTTTCATTATCCAAACTAGATGTAGTACTGCTATAGCACTGATGATGTTACCTAGTTAGGGTAATGAAACGTCTGCAAGAACACAAGCAAGCTCAGAGAGCACCAAGGACCCCACAGTCGTCGTCGTGCTCCTCCTCCTCCTCCTCCTCCTCCTCCTCCTCCTCCTCCTCACAAACACCCTCCCTTCTGGCACTGATGATGTTACCTAGTTGGGCAATGAAACGTCTGCAAGAAAACAAGCAAGCTCAGAGAGCACCAAGGANCCTCCTCCTCCTCCTCCTCCTCCTCCTCCTCCTCCTCCTCCTCCTCACAAACACCCTCCCTTCTGGCACTGATGATGTTACCTAGTTGGGTAATGAAACGTCCGCAAGAAAACAAGCAATCTCAGAGAGCACCAAGGAGCCTTCATTTCAACCCTGAGCTACAAATATTCTCCTTCATTGGCATTTTTACAATGCTCTTGTAACTTGGAACAGTTGTTAATCGAATGATTGTAAGTAGAGAACTACCTATACTTTAACAAATTTTTCCAGATAGTTACAGAAAAGCCAAACACTAATGCTAAACACTCACTTGAACACCTGCATTAGATAATCTCACAATAGAGAATTAGGTACAGGTAGTCATCGACTTAAATCCACAACTGAGCCCAAAATTTCCGTTGCTAAGCAAGATAGGTGTTAAGCCAGTTTTGCCCCCATTTTATGACCTTTCTTGAGCTGTTGTTAAGTAAATCACTGCAGTTGTTAAGTTAGTAACACGGGTTGTTAAGTGAATCTGGCTTCCCCATTGACTTTGCTGGTCAGAGGTGATCACGTGACCCTGGGACACTGCAACTGTCATAAGTACATGCCAGTTGCCAAGTGTCTGAATTTTGATCACGTGACCCTGGGGAGGCTGCAATGGTCGTAACTGTGATAAATGGTTCAAGTCCCTTTTTTCAGTGCCGTTGTAACTTTGAGTGGTCGCTAAACAACCGGTTGTCGGCTGAGGACTGTGTATATCAAGATGTAGAAGTGTTTCTGATCCGCTAGATTTCTTCAGGGCAGACGTTTTGAGTACTCTGTTTTGGAACCTTTATGCAAGTTCTCATTTGCAGGCTAAAAAAATATGGTCCAACCACAGGTTTTTCTATTTGTGGAAGGACTTATCCTTTTTCTGAACAGAACCAGGACATTTTCTTCTCCAGTAATGGAACGCGAAGCCTACCAGAAGCTCTTGAGATCCTTCAAATCCATCTTGCTTTGAACTTCTCAGTGTACAGAGCTGAAATCTAATTGGCCAAGGAGCCTTAGACGTTTCTCAGACCTTCTCAAGATAGCTCACCTTTCTGGGAGAAAAGCATTCTGGGACAGCCCACCTTTGCTAGGAAGATGTCAGCCATGTTGGTTTGACTCAGAAGTATCCCAAACACCAAGAGATAAAATTAGGAAAGCTTACTCTGGGCCACACAACCTCTTTAGCTCTTCTTTCAGGCTCTTGTTTTCTTCTCTCAGCTTATTCATTTCATTAGCTGGAATAGGTGGAAAAAAGGGAGGAAAATGTTGAATTAGATCAACTTTCCATGGCCCAAATCTTCTGACAGGGAGAACAGTCAACAAATGGAATAGTTTGCCTCCAGAAGTTGTGAATGCTCCAACACTGGAAGCTTTCAAGAAGAGACTGGACAGCCATCTGTCAGAAATGATATAGGGCAGGGGTAGGCAACCTTGGCTCTTTTATGACTCGTGGACTTCAACTCCCAGGATTCCTGAGCCAGCATGGCTGGCTCAGGAATCCTGGGAGTTGAAGTCCACGAGTCATAAAAGAGCCAAGGTTGCCTACCCCTGGTATAGGGTCTCTTGCTTAAGCAGGGGGTTGGACTAGATGACCTATACGGTCCCTTCCAATTCTGTTATTCTATTCTATACCTTATGGCTGAGATGGTGTCAAGGTTACATCAGAAGAGAACATATATATCACAGGTCCATAGCTACCAGGTATCTGAACAGTCGGAGGAAGTCACGGACAATTGGACAGAAGGACGCACCAACGGTTTAACATTCTTTGCATCTGTCACAAAACTTACAATGAAAAACTACCAACCCCCCCTATAAATCTACACGTGCAATACAAGAAATGGTATTTTCCATCATGAGAAAAACTGGTTTCTGATACTATACATATTGCAGGATCCAATCTGGGTCAGTCACCGGGACTAGAATTTAATCTTCTAAGCTTTCGGACTTGTTCTGGAGCCCATCCTGGTGAGAGAGAAGTTCCCTGAGGATGGATTCCAGAACGGGTCCGAAAGCTCAGAAGACTAACCTCTGGTCCCAGTGACTGACCTAGACTGGATCTTGCAACATTATCCCAGGACATGTCTATTTGCCTTCATTCGTGACAACAGGAAGTCCTTGACTTACGACCACAACTGAGTCCAAAATTTCTGTTGCTAAGGGAGACATTTGTTACGTGAGTTTTCTTGCCATAATTGTTAAGTGAATCACTGCAGTTGTTAAGTTAGAAACAGAGTTGTAAAGTCAGTCTGGCTTCCCCATTGAGTTTAGTTGTCAGAACAGTGAGAACAACTAACCAGTGGAATAAATTGCCTCCGGAAGTTGTGCGTGCCCCATCACTGGAGGCTTTTAAGAAGGACTGGACAGCCATTTGTCTGAAATAATATAGGGTCTCATATATAAGGGGTTGGACTAGAAAACCTCCAAGGTCCCTTCCAACTCTGTTATTCTATGTGCAGATCACAAAAGGTGATCACACGATCCCAGGACACTGCAACCATCATAAATATGAGCCAGTTGCCATGCATGTGAATTTTGTTCAGGTGGCCATGTGGATGCTGTAATGGTTGTCAATGTGAAAAATGGTCATAAGTCCCTTTTTCAGTGATGTTGTAACTTCAAATGGTCATTAAATGAACAGTTGTAAGTCGAGGACTACCTTTACCCATATTGTATAAAAGTCTGCAACTTCAAAAATTTTCAACCGGAGAATCTTCCGTGTTTCTATTCAGTCTAATCCAGGTATTCATTTTCTGAACTTACTGAGGATGAAGATGTGTTGAAGACTTTGAAAATGGGCCTTCATGAACTCATGTTGCTTCTTCTTTGCAAGTTCTTGAGTCACTTGGCATCTGTCGCACAGCCCAGCTCGCAACCTTCGAAGTAATAAAAATAGCAGTGTGACATTTTTAGAGCACCAAAACCAGTTGGGAGCAGACATTCCAAACCAACCCCACTGTCAGTACTTCAGGCTAGACCAGACTTGGAAACCAAATTCATAAAAGCTAATACTACTTTTATTATAAGGTTCCAGTAATAGAATCTTGCAAGTCTGAATGTGCTTCCCTCCTCCCTCTGTTTATTTTTGGTGAAAATTGGGGAGGGTCTTATCTACGACACTTTCTCGAATTACATTTCTGTCTTGAACTCAAATTTCTGTTCTCCGACCTTCTAGACCAGGGGTAGGCAACCTTGGCTCTTTTATGACTCGTGGACTTCAACTCCCAGAATTCCTGAGCCAGCCATGCTGAGGGGAAAGGGAGAGGTTTCCAAGCTGAGCCATGCTGGCTCAGGAATTCTGGGAGTTGAAGTCCACGAGTCATAAAAGAGCCAAGGTTGTCTACCCCTGGTCTAGTCTATTGTTTCTCCACCTCAGGAACTTTAAGATGTGTGGACTCCAACTCCCAGATTCCTGAGCCAGCCATGCTGAGGGGAAAGGGAGAGGTTTCCAAGCTGAGCCATGCTGGCTCAGGAATTCTGGGAGCTCAAGTCCACAAATCATGAAGGGGCCAAGGTTGCCTACCCCTGTTCTAGGCACTGGCTCTTCCTCCTGTTCCTCAAGAATATTTCTTTCAGCCCACTTTGGGGTTCATATTTTTTCAGAATTATTATTTATTTGGCCAAAATTTACCAAAAAAATGGTTAGGGGACTGGAGGCAAAAAACCTTATGAAGAATGGTGGCAGGAATTAGATATGTCTCTTTTATGAAAGAGAGTTTCAGCCAAGTGGTTGCAGCCCCCATCATGATACTTTTGAACCCCCCCTCCTCTCCAGATGCCCCTCTTGGGATAGGATAAAGCTGTTTACCTGTTTTCCAAAACTCTCACATTTTCTTTAAGTGCCTTTTGCTGTTCCCGCAGTTGGTGGTTTTTGGTAAATAGTTCTTCAATTCTTTGGCTGTCACTAAGTCAAGGGGGAGGAACAGGGAGGAAGATGAGAAGACCCTTATTCCCAGGTCTCAAAATGCATCTCTGCCCTTCCTCTTTCTCTTTCTCTCTCTCTTTCTCTTTCTCTCTCTCTCTCTCTCTCTCTCTCTGTTTCTCTTTCTCTTTCTCTCTCTCCAACTTCAAGGAGAACTAAAGTAATAGGAGCTGATAGGATAATTAAGACAAGATAAAGCAGGGATCTTCAAACCTAGCCCTTTTATGACTTGTGGACTTCAACTCCCAGAATTCCTCAGCCAGGCACGAGAATTCTGGGAGTTGAAGTCCACAAGTCATAAAAGGGCCAAGTTTGAAGACCCCTGAGATAAAGTACAGGAGTCCTCAACCTATGACCACAATTGGTAAGAATTTCTGTCGCTAAGCCAGGAGGAGGCTGTTCAGCGAGTCTCACCAATTCAATGATCATTTTTGCTTGTTGGTTAAAATTGTTAAGTGAATCGCTGCAGTTGTTAAGCGAGTCATGCCATTGTTAAGCAAATCCAGCTTTCCCCCCCCCCTTGACTTTGTTTGATGGAAGCTGGCTGGGAAGGCAACAAATGGTGATCACACGATCCTGGGACGTTGCAACTCTCGTAAATTCATGCTGGTCGCCAAGTACTCAAATTTTTTATCACGTGTCCTCTGAGGATGGTGCGATGGTCACTAGTGCTAGGATCAGTTGCAAGTCCATTTTTTCAGTGCCATTGTAACATCCAACAGTCACCAAACAAATGGTTGTAAATCATGAATTATCTGTACTTAGGAAACAGAAATTGTTCGCCCATCAGGCTAAACCAGGGGTAGGCAACCTTGCCTCTTTTATGACTCGTGGACTTCAATTCCCAGAATTCCTGAGCCAGCCATGCTGAGGGGAAAGGGAGAGGTTTCCAAGCTGCGCCGTGCTGGCTCAGGAATTCTGGGAGTTGAAGTCCACGAGTCATAAAAGAGTCAAGGTTGCCTACCCCTGGGCTAAACAAAATGTGGCTTCATTCTGGCTTGACATAGCCACTGTGCTTTGTGAGCAGTAATTTATGGCTCAGTGTAGATCAACCAGCCAATAGTAGTTTATTCATCAAACCATTATTCAAAACTCAGTTTGTCCAGATGTTTCCCCTCTATAGATGCTAAACAAAGATTTTGATTCCAGCATCAGCCCCAACGCTCTTAAGATGATAGGGATGGATCTTAAACTTTATTTTCTATTTTAATTTATTCTGTCTTGTTCTAAAGAACGTAAGTCCACGAACCCATGCCCAACAGAATGGCATTTGTTACACTCACCGACATTTCTCATTGGTTAGTTCGTTCAGTTTGGTTTGCAGGCCTGGAAGAGTTCAGAAACAATCTGTGATCTTTGCTGCTGGATGTACAACATTACAATTCAATCTGGTCAATTAAAGATCTAATGATTGGCTATCACAGAACACACTCAATTTGGTTGATGGAAACCATGATTGGTTCCTTGTGGCGTAACCAACCGCATGAATCCAAACCATTTAGTTAGATTACAATTCCATCGACAGATAGGCCTTGACTTATAACCACAATTGAGCCCCAAATTTATGTTGTTAAGCGAGATAATTGTTTATGTGAGTTTTGCCACATTTACAATCTTTCTTGCCATAGTTGATCACTGTAGTTCTTAAATTGGTAACACAGTTGTTAAATGAATATGGCTTCCCCATTGACTTTGCTTGTCAGAAGGTTGCAAAAGGGGATCACATGACCACCGGGACACTGCAAACGTCATAAATGTGAGTCAGTCGTCAAGCATCCGAATGTAGATCACCTGACCATGGGGATGCAGCAAGGGTTATAAGTGTGAAAAACGGTCACAAGTCACTTTTTTCAGTGCCGTTGTAACGGTCACTAAATGAACTTTTGTAAGTCGAGGACTACCTGCGTAGAAATGTGTGTGTATACTGTATATAGGTATGTACATTTATGTGTCTCTGGTTGAATGGATGCATGGATTCCTGGATGGATGAATGGGTTGGGTAGAAATCAATATATGGTAGAGCAGATAGATGATAGAGTAGATTTAAACTGAAGTCATTCTACAGCATATATGTAAACATTAAATCGGGAAGCAAGCAAGCAGATCTGCACAACCTAGCAAGATTGAAAGCTGGCACGTCAGTCTTAACTGTATTTGCAATTGACAACTCAAAGAGTGGCTGAGTTCACAAAGAGCTAACTCTACAAAATCAGCAATCCTTCCACTTTTCATCCATTTTTTTCACCTGATTCTTACATTTTAAACATCTCTGCCTCAAACCTATTCATCCAACTAACCAGACAGTGCGGAAGCCCTATTTTACACACACACACACACACACACACACACACACACACACCCCATTACTTACCTTGGACTTCTTTCTCGTGTGTTTCCTTGAGTCTGTTCAAGATTTCCGCAAAATTTTCAGTGGCCATGTTCCTTGTATCATCACATGGATGGGTCCGAGGTGGGGAGAAGGCAATCAGATTGGATGGTTTCAGATCAGTTTTCTCCCTCTCTCCAGTGTTCAGCTTGTGGCCTAAGAGGGAAGAATTAGAGATGCAAAAAGAAAAAAAACCCTTTCTGAATAGTTCTGATGTTGCTATTTCCTAGTCAAAAGTTGCATGATGGGATGCTTTCTTTGGGAACTCAGAATTCATTGAGACTTGATGTCATGATTCCGACAGATGAAACTCTTCAAAGAACTTCCAGGCATTGTTTACCTTAAAGAATCTTTATTTGAATAGCATAGCATCGGCAAGTACATAATTGAAGCCAAAAACTGAGTTCCCCTCCCCTGAGCACATAGTATCAAAGCACAATTCCCTCCTCCAATTAACAGTCATAAATCACATTCTCCAATTAGTTTGAAATGCAGGCCTCCCCTCCAGTTCTCCAACCCAGCCAATTCTTATCATCTCTTATTTCAGTAACCTTGGTTCATACACTAGATTCAGTATTGTTATGTCTAGCTAAACTCTCAGGCACATTCCTCCCCCCAGTATCATCTAACTTTAATTCTAAGAGTAAAACATAAGAAGAAAATGTTGTCAAAGCAAAAACATCCAATGTTAGCAGCATTGATACTTGACAATCCATAATAATAATAATAAATTTGGAAGGGACCTTGGAGGTCATCTAGTCCAACCCCCTGCTCAGGCAGGAAACCTTATACCATTTCAGCCAGGCTGATAGGTCTGTAATTTCCTGGGTCCATTGTTTTCCCTTTTTTGAAGATGGGAACTACGTCAGCTCTTTTCCAGTCCTCCGGTAGTTCCCCAGTGCTCCAGGATTTTTGAAAAATATAGTTCAATGGTTCTGAGATCACATCTGCCAGTTCCTTGAGAACCCTGGGGTGTAATCCATCTGGTCCTGGTGATTTGAACTCGTCTAGGCTGGACAGGCGCTCACTTACCGTTTTCTTGCCTATCTTAACTTGCATTTCTATTCTGTTTTTTATGGCACTAGAAAAGTGGTAGCGGGGGAGGGGAATGAACTGAACCGGTGGCAGCACCGCACAAGCCTGAGCGAGAGATGGCTGGAGCTGCAGGGCTGTCAGGGCTCAGTGGAAGTGCCAGGATCAGCGCCAGGCTCCAGCTGGAGCTCGGCACTGATCCTGGCGCTTCTGCTGAGCCCAGGAGAAGCACCGATCAGCTGGAATGTTGCAGCATCTCCAGGGTCTTGTGATTTACATTCAGATGCTTGGCAACTGATTCATATTTATGACGGTCACAGTGTTCCAGGGTCATGTGAAGTGACCAAAACCTGCTGCAACCACCCAGCAGACGGGGGGAATAAAAACTAAACACCCCCCACCCCACCCCTGCTGCCAATCCTCAACAGAAATACAACAATGAAAACCTCGGACAGGAGGAAGAGCACCGCCGGGTGGGCAGGCAGGTGTCTTGCTTGGCTGTGGCTTGGGGGGCACATATTTCAGTGCCATTGTAACTTCGAAGAGTCACTAAGTGAACTGTTGTAAATCGAGGACTACCTGTACTTTATCACTTTTTTCCTTTTTTGGGGGGGGGGTGTCATCAGGTTTTTGACACCTTACTAGGCGACTGGTGGTACTCGGATATTGCCATATCCTAAAAGTGGTACAATGAGTGAAAAGGTTGAAAAGCCCTGAAATAGTCTAGCTCTAGCCATTGTCTTGGAAACGAATATTGGACAGTTTGAACAGTTTGTAAAGTGGTTTAACAACTTTAATAAGACGGTATTTGATAATATAGTCTACAAGCAGTTTTCTGGGTGTAATATAAATAATGGTTTCTCTGTGAGTATGCTTTTGCTTAGTTTATAGAATATTTTATGTCCAACCTTTATGTTTTAAGGAAAATAAGTTAATAAAAAGAAATAAAACATGACATATCTGATCCACAGAGTTAAACATATAATATGCCCATAAAGCATATTGCCTGGTTCCCCTGGAGGATTACTGTTATTCACCATAGGTGAGTACTTTATAGCACTTTTCGAAGGCCCAAATAAATTGTAGGAAGCTGAAGGAAGAAAATAGATTATGTCCTAAATTACCTACTTGTCATGGGTAATTACTGCATTTGCACAGATTTCCTTTAGCTACCAGACTTAATTTATCGTGACCATTGAATAGTGTCTCATTTCCCCAAGGGGTTTCCAAAAGTTTTATTGCACAAGTATGAAGCTTTGCCAGCTCCGTTCAGGACCCGTGACAGAGTCTGATGGGAAAAGCTTTCAGGAACATAAATCTTTCCAGGAAGCTCAAATTGCATTAATACGTACCTGTGGTTGGAATGCAGGCTTAGTAACTCCACTAATAAAGGAAGTTAAAAAGAAATCTGTGGGTTTATTAAATTGGAAAAAACCTCCTTTGGTTGCTAATCCCTGACTTCAGAAAGGGATAGTATATAATATTATGGAGAGAAGTTGCTGGATAAAATACACAGACATGTTAGAGTGCAGAGAAGAGCATCAAAGATGATTAGGGCAGGGCTTTTCAACCTTTTCACAGATTGTACCACTTTTAGGACATGACAATATTTGAGTACCACCAGTGCTTAGCAAGGTGTCAAAAACTTGATGACTAAAAAAAAAAAGGGGGGGGGATTTTGGGTTTTACTGATTAGATTCATTTGTTGTTATAGAAATGGCTAGTTTATAATATTATGGAAAAGTAAAAAGTTGAGGTTCAATGTTAATGCTTCCTTCTACTGCAGGGGTGTCAAACACAATTTCATTGAGGGCCGCATCAGCATTGCGGTTGCCCTCAGGGGGCCGGGTGTGTGTGGCCAGGGTGGGTGCGCCCTACTGGGTGGGCGTGGATGGAGTGGGTGTGGCCTACTGGGTGGGTGTGGCCAACTCTACATCCTTCGCGTCAAGGGTGCCTGTGGGGGCCTGGGCAGGAGTGGGGCAGATCTGAGGGTCTCTGGCAGAAGGGGGTGGGACCGGGGCAAGTGCCAAGGCATGGTCCACTGGAGGAGCCTCACTGTTCCTCTTAGGCCATGTGGGGAGAGGCTTATGGAGCTAAGACTGAATGCGTTTCAGCATAGATGGCCACCACAAAATTGTACATTGGCTCCCGCCCGGCCTGGGCCAGGGCCAAGGCAGCGGGGGCCATTCCCTCACTGTTTCCAGGATGGCTTCATGGGCCACATGAAACCACTTCGTGGGCCGCATCCGGCCCCCGGGCCTTGTGTTTGACATGTCTGTTCTATTGCAACAGAGGAAGTATGCTCTTTTTCCTTTCTCCCCCTCACTTTTCCCGTTTTTTCCTCCCCACTGTGTCCTACTATTTGCTTTTGTATTTTTGTATTTTATTCTAATAAAATATTACAAACTGTAGAAAAAAAAGAAAAAAAGTACCAGTTTTAAAAATTTCTTCTGTGACTGTTCCTTTTGCTGAATCCCTTTCCCTTTGCGCTGACAAATGTATGATGAATTTATCCATGTTTATTAATATGCACCACTACCAGCTAGTTCAGGGGTCTTCAAACTTGGCACTTTTAAGACTGGAGGCTAAAACATATAAAGAATGGTTGCAGGAATTGGGTATGTCCAGTTTAATGAAAAGAAGGGTTGTGTGGGTGACATGAAAGTAGTGCTCCAATATTTGAGGGGCTCAACCTATTTTCTAAAGCACTGGGAGGCAAGACAAGGAACAATGGATGGAAACTAATCAAGGAGAGAAGGTACCTGGAACTAAGGAGAAATTTCCTAACAGTAAGAACAATTAACCAGTGGAACAGCTTGCCTCCAGAAGTTGGGATGCTTCATCACCAGAGACTTTTAAGAAGAGACTGGACAACCATTTATCTGAAATGATACAGGGTCTTCTGCTTGAGCAGGGGTTGGACTAGAAGACTCCAAGGTCCCTTCCAACTCTATTATTCTGTTATAGTTATAGTTGAGCCTAACTTAGAGAATTGCACAGAACATCACAGTACAATTTTATTTTATTTTTATTTTTGGCAGCTAGTCTTGATGGCTACAGAAGAAAGACTGCTCTTGCTTGCTGAGAAACATTCCTACAGACAGACAGAAAGCACCACATTTTCAAAGCATGTCAACATGTCTGGAGGACGTCTGCTCCTCAAAATATGAAAGTAGCTACAGGCAGTGGTGGGATTCAGCCAATTCGCACCACTTCGGCCAAACCGGTAGCTAATTTTTTGTTGCCCAGGTCCAGAACGGACTTCCGGAAGCGGCATCCACACAGAGAACTGGTTGTTCACCTATTTGAATCTCACCACTGGCTACAGGTAGTCCTTGTGTGATGACCACAATTGAGCCCAAAATTTCTGTTGCTAAGGGAGACATTTGTCAAGCTACCTCCGAGACCGCCTTCTGCCACAGATTCCCTCCCACAGACCGGTACGCTCCCACAGAGCGGGCCTCCTCAGGGTGCCGTCGGCCAAGCAATGTCGGCTGGCGACCCCCAGGGGGAGGGCCTTCTCTGTGGGTGCCCCCACCCTCTGGAACGAACTACCCCCCGAGATCCGGACGATTCCGGATCTCCTAACCTTNACAAGCGGGCCTGACCTAGGGTGAATTTTAAATAGGGATAATTTTTAATGATTTTAAATAGTCACAGCCACTAATATTTGGATTTTAATTGGTTTTTAGAAGGGGTAATTCTGTATATTGTTTTAACATGCTGTGAGCCGCCCTGAGTCCCATGGGGAGAAGGGCGGCATATAAATTTTGTAAAAATAAAAATAAAAAAAAAGTGAGTTTTGCTCCCTTTTACGTCCTTTCTTGCCATGGTGGTTAAATGAAACACTGCGGTTGCTAAGTTAGGAACAGGGTCATTAAATGAATCTGGCTTCCCCATTGACTTTGCTTGTCAGAAGGTCGCAAAAGGGGATCACATGACCCCAGGACATGGCAACCGTCATAAATATGAGTCAGTTGCTAAGCGTCTGAATTTTGATCATGTGACCCTGGGGATGCTGGAAGGGTTGTAAGTGTGAAAAACGGTCATCAGTCATTTTTTTCAATGCTGTTGTAATTTCAAACAGTTCCTAAACCAGGAGT